ACTCTTTCCAGATAAAGAAATAAGCAATCTTACATCTGGTTTTCCAAGGGTCTTTCACCTCACCTCCGGATAAGTTTTCTGAATGACAGAAAGTTCAAAGGCCCAAGTATTGACAGAATTAAAATAGTCTTTCCTTTTTTTTTTCTTTTTGGGTAAAATAAAGGATGGGGATAAATGGGCATGTTTACTTTAAAAAAAAAAAAAAGGCTTCAGCAGATAGACCCATACCACTAAAAAAATGTGATACATTGGGTCTTACCAAAGGTGAGTTCCTGTGCTCAAGAACAGGGAAAAAAAACCTGTAAATGTTAGCCTGATGTTCAGTGAGCTAGATGAGTACAGCTGAAATACTTTAATCTACTTTTGGGGCACTTTATTGGTATGGACATCCTGGCAAAAAAAATCTGCAACAGGGACACTGCAAGCTGCTCTTTGCACGAGGAAAGCTGTTCCTTTCAAATAGAGCTAGCTCTTCTTGTGGAAATGAAGTTTTGTACCTTACTGAATCCAAATGGAGGTGAACGAGGTGATCAAGGTCCAGGTGTCTTGCTGGTACCTCTCTGAGTTTGTTGTATAGTCAAGAAGTTTTAGATCTTCAAGAGTGCTTGGAGCTAGGAGAGTATTTGGGGGCTGCATGCTCTCAGTTGCACTTCTGTGGGTAATGACTAAGTTAACCTAACGGGCAACTCTGGCTGAAATGCCTCTGTCCTGCTCTGGCCACTGGCACATATCCGAGTTGATGATGAGACTGATCCAAGTAATTAAATAATGAGATTGATTATTTAACTATTTTTGTTTCAGTCTGAGTCATGAAACTGAGTTCCTACATTGCTGAATCAGATGAGTACCAGTGCTGATGATAGAGTGGGAATGGGAGGGATGAAGAACCACACTTCGGGTAGGAGCTATTGGTTATGTGCTTTACTTGCAACGTGCAGTGTTACCTTTAAGAGAACTGCAGGGTTAATGCCGCATTCTGGTTTAAGTTGTGCAAAGGAGAAAAGCTTTTGAGAACAGCCTCCAGCATACATGATCTTGGTTCTAGTTAAACAAACAAACAAACAAAAAAAACCCAAGGAAAACAAACAGTTTGAATTACTGATTTTCTGTGTGGTTGTACAATCTCCCCTTGTGCCTTGAAGAAGAAAAAGGGTACTGGGCTATCACAGTTCAGAGACCTAAAGTTACTAGCTGTAGTAAGACTCACAATAAATATGTAATGAACAGAACGTTCTCATGGTTGTCTCTGAACTCACTGGATGAAAAGTTCATCTTCTCAAGTACTGTGGCTCTGGTGGTGAGCAGTAATGGGTTCCTAGGTTAAGAGGATAAGAATAGAGCATGGGAACAGAGAAACTTCTGCAATGACATCCCCCAGCTTCCAGCAAACAGCAGCTTAGGGACTTCATAAATCTGCTGTTGTACTTCTTATGTTCAGTAGTTTTAGATGAAATTTTCTTTGAATCTGAATGCTTTTGAGCCCCCTTGTATTCTTTGAATCTATGGTATCAAGTTCCAGAGCTCTATGAATTTAATTATGCCCTGTGTGAAAAAGTACTTATTTTGTTTTAAACCTGTTCTTTTATTTGGCATCTTGTTTTTCTTTATTTGGAGGAATAATAATTTCCCCAGTGGTCACATCTTTTCCAGCTGAGGAGTCCTCTGCCTCTTACTTGAAGACTGTTCTATCTGAAAAGCTATTCCATTTTATTTTCTTTATCTGCTTTGATTCTACTGTTTTCCTTTAAATTCAAAGGGAACAAACCTAACTCTTGGTAGTTATGACATACTGCAAATCAATACAGATTATAGTTGTGGTTTTCTTTTTTGCTTCCTAATAATTTCTAACATTCTTTTACTTTTTGGCTGTGGCTTAACTAAAGCTGATATTTTCATAGAGCTTTTCATCATGACTCCAAGATCTTTCCAATGCAGTAAGATGTTATTTACTGCACTGTGGTATATGTGTAGTTGGCTGTAATCTGCAGCAATGTCCTCATTATTTTGCTTGTGTTCACACTGAATGC